GGGTGGCGGGACCGCCTAGACGCACCGCGGTCCCGCCGCCAGCGTCCTCCGCGGCGAGAAAAGCCCCGTTCGTATGTAGGGATCCGACATAAGTCGGATCCACGTAACTCAGGGACTGCCTGTAGATTATACAATCTTATTTTCTGGAGGGGAATATTCTCTTCCTAGCCATGGAAATGAGACTGATTCTCCACGGCCTTGCACCAGGATTAATCTTTTACATATGTGCTAAATAGGTGTACTGCTTATGCAAGTGAAGAACTCTTATTTAGCACTATTTTATTCTGTTCTTCACAGGTGCAAGAGACCACACAAAGGGCAAGATATTGGAGACTTAGGCACTTATCTCTCCCTCCTTTTTTTAAGAAGATTAATTCTAATATAACAAAAATGGTGTAAATGTGGTACCTCTGAAGTCTCTCTTCTCATTATCTCCATCTGGATCTAACTTTTTTTCTTCTTCCTCATCTTCTTCACCTTCACCTTCTCCAAAGGAAGCCATAAGCATCACACCAGCTTGTGACAAAAGGTTCTTCAACTGACTGCATAGCAGATCCAGCAAAGACTGGACCACTTTGGGGCTCAATTTATCAGCATAAGTTCTTTGTGAAAAATGTAAAGATTAAAACTTTTTTAGCTATTCCAATAAAATAATGTCAAGACATTCCGCATATGCGTGCATTCAGTGCACATTAAAACAAGGTCCTAACTCAGGACAGACTGTAGTCAGTTGTAGTGCAGTTGGTGATATCCCTTGATTGCTTTCTTGATTCTGTCAGTGCACCTCCACACTAACTACAGCACTCTGGTATTCCAATCCTCACTTTCATTTTAACAAAAATTATCTATCAGTGATGTTAAATTACTTAATGTTTCATGATGCGGCAAATGAAGATTAAAAGAGACTAGCCAACACATTTTATATAATGATAAACTAGGATATAAACTTCAGTTTTAAGAAATTAAAGGTGATATACAGTTCAGTCATTTAAGCATTACACATAATCCTTTCTATTGACTTCAGTGGGTGTTGGACCAACCCCTTAGTGCATAAAATCATATCATCCAAACCCCACAACAGTACTTACAGTACTTCTTAATGACTACCTTGACAATTGAGTTTTTCACTTTACAAACATTTAAATAAAAGTGATACAGACTGACTATTTAATAGGAGTATTCTTGATCAAAACCAGAAACTATTATTTTCCCCTCAATGTTTTTTTTTTAAATTAGTTATGCATTCAAATTAACTCAGTCAGAGTAAAAGTTTGGTCTGTTATTCCCTGGTTCAACAGCAAATATTAGCAGTGTTCAGGAAAGTCTGTTAAACTTCAGGAAGAAAAATAGAATTTCCCTCTTGCTAATAATAATGGGAGAGATTATGCGCCAGAACAGCACAATGACCTCTCCAGAGAGCTACATAAAGCCTCATCAGCTGGAAACCCATGACAAGACCAAGTAGGGAAAAATGAGGAGGATGCAAGGTGGTCATATTTGCAGCCTTGTGGGCACAGAACACTCTGAGCCCAAACTCAAATCAAATTATGCTATTTTATCAGAGGAGTACATATGATTAACAATCACTTAACATTTTGTCAAGTTTTTTTCATTTTAGCTAGTGTGCTTGTAAACTCCATCAAATAGGCAGTATTCTGAAAAAAAAAATAACTCTGCGTTTTTAAAGACACTGCTGAAAGAGGTACACATGGATCATGACTAGAAAAAAGTCTTCAATTCTTACCCTGTGGTAATGGCGAGGATTTGAAGTAACCTTGTACTAGCCACTTTCAAAGCAGTGCTGAGTTGAGAAATACCAGTTTTGGGCAACAATTGCAGTGGTTGTCCCAGCATGGTGTCTGTGCCACACAACTGTGATAGTACATTTAGCAGACCAGTGGAAATGGCCAAGGAGACATCAACAGGCTGATAGTGTACACTTAGAGCAAAGACAGTTACCAAGAGGAGGCGCTGTTGTGCTTCTAAAATTAAAAAAAAACAAAAACCTCTTTGGAATCAAAGTACCAAGATGATTCAGAAACAATAGTTAGTTCTTCAACACCACCACACATAGTGTTTGAGGAAGTGCCAGAATAAAAGCCCACTACTTGTCTCCTCAATAAACTCAGAATGAACACTAAGGTGACTTATTTTAATTATTTTGTAATTCCACTGTATTATATTCAGGTCCTTTGGGAATTCCATCGTGGACACTCCCCCTTCCTCTACCCCCAATGATGCACTCTGCCCCCAAGAAAGTCCCTTAGGGAATTGGACACTGAGCTAATTTTTGGCATGAAAATTTTGGGGTTAAATCCCAGAAGAAGCTCTCTCTGGTTCTTGTCTAGAAATGTCTCCCTGAGCAGAGGATAATTGGAAAACACACTAGGTTTTCAACTTATATATGAAGTTTAATTCCAACACTGGATAATTCATATTGATTTTCAATATCAAATTCATGGTCCATTTTGCTCAATTTCACTGACACGGTATTTTAAAAGTCATACATTTTGTGATTCCAACTATTTAAATCTGAAATATCACAGTATTGTAATTGCAGGGGTCCTGACCCGAAAAGGAGTTGGCTAGGACCACCACCAGAAGCATCACTCAAAGATGCCATGATATGGTATTGTCACCCTTATTTCTGTGCTGCTGTCTGAATAGGCATGCCCTCAATCAGCAACTGCCACTCTCTTGCCACCCAGATCTGAAGCCCGTAACGCAGAGTGGCCATCCCATCCCATCCCATCCTTGCTGCTGGCAGGGTGCTGCCCTCAGAGCTGGGCTCCCAGCCAACTGCCACTTTTCTGTAGCCACCCATCTCCGAAGGCAGTGCAGAAGTAAGGCTTGCAATACTGTAATTCCCCTAAAGTCCACCCATCTCTGCAACTGCCTTTTGGGTCATGATTTCCAATTTGAGAAATGCTGGTTTTCTCTGTGACATGTGTATAGTAAAAGCATACACAAGACCAGATTTCACAGAGGATAGGGGCGGGGACAGATTTTATGGTCATTGACATGCTTTTGAAGAGGGTTCAGAGAAGAGCAACAAGAATAATTAAATGATTAGAAAACATGGCTTGTAGTTACAACAAAGAATCCTCTGGCACCTTAAAGACTAACAGAGTTATTTGGGCATAAGCTTTCATCTGACTAAGTGGGTCTTTGCCCATGAAAGCTTATGCCCAAATAAATGTTAAGACTCCTCCTTTTTGCAGATACAGACTAACATGGCTACCCCTCTGATACGTGCCTTGCAGTGACAGGCTCAAAGAGGTCTCTTTAGTTTAACAAAGAGAATGTTAAGGTGTGACTTAATTAGTGTCTGTAAGTATCTGCATGGGGAACAAATACTTGAATAATGGGCTTTTCATTTTAGCAGAGAATGGTATAACATGATCTCAGTGGCTGAAAGTTCATGTTGAACAAATTTAGATTGGAAATAAGGCATGAACTTTTATTGGTGAGAGGTTAATCACTGGAACAATTTACCAAGTGTTATGGTAGATTTTTCAACACTGACATTTTTAAATCAAGATTTGCTGTTTCTCTAAAAGATCTGCTCTAAGAATAATTTGGGGGAAGTTCTATGGCCTATGCTATACAGGAGTCAGACTAAATTATGCCAATGGTCCCCTCTATCCTTAGAATCTATAAAAACATGTAGTTATTTAACTTCTATTTAAAGTTGCAAAAGAAAACAATGACAATGTGTGTGTGGTTATAAGGCAACTTTTGCCAGAAAAAGAAAAGATATGCTACTGTAACTTTCACATGTACACATGATTTCAAATAAAGTTAGCTAAGGTGCTGAGAGCTTTCAAGGCTGCATATCTTCTTTCAAGGTGAAACATATGCAGAGTGCCTGCATAGGAGGCCAGGACAAATTGCTCTGTGGACAGAAAAATTGTCCTATTGATATTATTTACCAGGGGGTTTTAAAAGACTGCTCATCTGTATGAAAGAGAAGTGACCAGAGGTTTCTTTAGTTTTTTTGAGATGGGGTGTGTATCTTTTGGAAGTTAATTTAATTTTATTTATTCTGGAAAAACCCATAAACAAATCAAACACTAGAGAAGGAGTATTTTTTTCTACTTAACTTGGGACTCTTATTAAGTATCTTTCTAGCTAATATAACTCATATTTTATTTATATGTACCACTTCTAGGGTAGAGAAAGAAGTTCATTCTCTGCAAATATTCAATAACTGGGTAAATAAAACCAATAAAAAAGAAACATAACAACTGTTTGCTACAGAATCAATCATTAACACTTCATCCATGTTTGTTACTTCAGCCATCTAAGTTTGGGTACTGATGCCAAAATCTGAATTCTACTCTATTAATAGTGTGTGTATTTATAACGTATGAACACACTTTGCATTTTCATACTTGTTCTCCACTTACCTATGTGGTGCTTGTTTGCTTGCAGAGCTCTCTCCAGTGTAGCAGATAATTGCTGGTAAATCTTGTGCACAGCCACTTGGATTTCAATCTGAATATTTCTCTTGGCTGATCTGATACCATCCTGAGTTTAAAAAAAAAAAGTACGCCAATAATTGTACATATTTATTTTTTTAAACTACTAGAACAGGAAGCTTAGTGGATTTGTGGTTAAAACACAAATCCTACTGTTTGGAGACCCAGGGATCTTCCTCAGTTTCTTCACCCATAAAACAATAGTAATTCTTCCCCTTTTCTACAAATGTTAGTTATTAAGATTTACAAAGCCGTAACATCCTCATATAGTATTACAATAATAATAATTTGCACATTCTCTACTAGACCTCCTCCTTGTTTGAATATGTATTAAACAAACTTTCATTGACCACCCCATTTGTATGACAGCAACCTCTTGTTTAATTTGACCATGTGGGAAAAAAGTTACCTACTGTAATGGTCCCTGCCCCCATGCTTTATGAAAATTGACTTAGGAATATAAATATGAATAACTCAAAGATACTTTAGACAAAATACCTCACACAACCTATCCATTTTAGTGTTACAGATCAACAGATGGTATATCTTATTTTGGTACACGTACCAGTCTTTATGTGAAGTTAGAAATATGAAGTGTGAGTCTGTAGTTTGAAATGTATGATCAGCTCAACAACTTGTAAACAGCCTTGTTTGTCCTGTAAGTCTTGAAGGTGGTCCACGGTAGAAAGACATGTGAAAGTATCAGCTGGTACTGAAATCCCTTTTTAATCCAGTGTTTTTCAATGGGAAGGGGAGGATGGCAAACAAGAGATTCCCACCCTGGGGGAGAGTCTATTTAAGCAATGGGAAACTATCAGATCTTTTTCTGGCCTTGGAAATGGCTTGGCATACCCTAAACGGATACAGAGAGAGCTGGAGACCCAAGTCATAATAAAAGTGTTTGCCTCTGACTTAAAGATTATGCTTGTAATAAGAACAGCGCTTTAAAGAGAGAAAGAATCCACGTGCAATAAGTCTCTGTGAATTAGAACTACTTGTGCATTTTCTTTTCATTTTAATTTAGTAAATTACTTGGGTCTGTTTTCACTTCAAACCACTTAAATCCTACTGTCTGTATT